GAATCTTGTCAAGAAATAAGGATAAAAAAAAAGAGTTAGAAAAGTAAAAGATTTTGGAACAGATTTTTTTATATTCCTTGTGGAAGGGACTGATGAAAGCATAAACAATAAAATTCCTTATTGTTTTAATGCAAAATCTAATCTTATTACATATGAAGAGGCAATGAAGTCTCAAGATTCTACTTTTTGGAGAGAAACAATAAATGATGAAATAGACTCAATAATGGAAAATAACACTTGGATTTTGGTTGATCTTCCATCATGTTCTAATCCAATGGGCTATAAATGGATTTTCAAAAAGAAAATGAAGGTGGTTGGAACCATAGATAAATTTAAAGCAAGGTTGGTAGCCAAGAGCTTTACACAAAATCAAAGGATAGACTACTTTGATACTTATGCTCTAGTAGCTAGAATTGCTACAATTAGGCTTCCACTTTCATGTGCCTTGATTTATAATTTGATTATACATCAAATGAATGTAAAGACGTCATTTTTAAATGGTGAATTAGAAGAGGAAGTATATATGAAACAACCAGAAGGATATATCATTCCACGTCAAGAGCATAAGGATATATCATTCCACGTCAAGAGCATAAGGCTTGTAAACTTGTAAAATCCTTATATAAACTTAAGCAAGCACCAAAACAATGGCACCAAAAGTTTGATGAAATTGTTCTTACTAATAGTTTTAGAATTAATAAATCAAATAAGTGCATATTGATTTGAAAAGGGCAAAAGAGTCATAATTTATTTATATGTCGATGATATGCTAATATTTGACACTGATTCAAAACAAGTTAAGGAAATAAAAAAATTTTATCAAATAACTTTTCAATAAAAGATATGGGTGTAGCATATGTCATTCTTGGAATTAAAATAATTCAGAATGATAGTGGCATAACCTTGTCACAATCACATTATATTAAAAGAATACTTAAAAAGTTTGATCTTTTCGATTGTATTCCAATATCTATACCTATGGATTCTCAATTAAGATTAGTATCTAATACTAGTAGAATAATTGATCAATTGCAATATGCAAAAGTAATTGGCTGTCTGATGTATGTAATGACTTGTATAAGGCCAAACATAGCATTTGCTGTTAGAAAATTGAGTAAGTACACAAATAATCCAAGTAACTTGCATTGGCAAGCAATTAAAATAGTACTTAGATATTTGAAGAAAACAATCAATTATGGATTGTGTTATAGTGGATATCCTTAAGTTATAGAATGATATTTTGATGCTAGTTGGATTACTAATATGGAATATCATGCTTCTAAAAACAGATGAATCTTTTGTACTTGGTGGAGGTGCCATTTCTTGAGGTTCCACGAAACAAATATGCATAACGAATTTCACCATGGCAGTCGAGTTTATTGCATTAGCCGCAACAGCTAAAGAAATTGAATGACTAAAAAATTTATTATATAAAGTACCTTTATGGCCTAAACAAATTTCCTCAATTTTTATCTGATGTGATAGTGAAGCAACTCTAGCAAGGGCATATAGCCAAGTATACAATGGAATTGGATTAAGATATAACTATGTTCAACAATTAATTTTCAAATGGAAAGGTCACAATAAATTATGTGAGATCAAGTGAAAACTTCGTGGATCCTTTAACCAAATGTCTTGTTAGAGAGTTGGTAAAAAAGACCTCAATAGGGATGGAGCTTAAGCTTATGAAGTGAAGTCATCCATGATAGAAACTCAACTCAACACTTTGTATAACGTCAAATCTTGAGTCCAATGAGATAAAGTACATCATTTGTATGTGACTGCTAGTATTATAGTAATATTTAATGCCATCTTATGTAAAGTACTAGGTACTTGTAATGGTAAAGGAAGGATGAGTAATATACTCTTAATAAGCTTATAACATAAATATGTTAAAAGTGTTATAGTTATGAGAACATTTTTGGTGGAAGCTACCTATGTGAGTGTGAAGTGTGGTCACTTCTAAAAGCTTAAGAGCTTGGCTCTAACAGAACTCATGAAAATAAGATGCAAACACATAACATGTCACCAAAAACTAAGCATTTATTGGGTGTTGAAATCATTGTGTGAGACAAAGTTCGGTTAACAAAATGGAATTGCTGGTTCAAAGCATAATCTACCATGCAATTTCGGTTAACTTTAACTTATTTTTACTAAGTGAAGGTTCAAATTGGAAGATATCTTTATTTATGCAATCGATTTCCAAAATAATTATAAATCTGTATTATTTTTAAAATGGTGAGAGATTGCTAAAGATTTCCAAAATAAAATATGAGAAATAATTTCACATTGAAAAAAAAAATAAAGATAAATAATTAAGTTTGTTCAAAACAAACAGATAAGTCTATTTAAAATGAACAGTTTTAACTATTCAAAAATAAATAGTTTTTGTCTATTCAAAATATACAGTTATGTTTGTAGGAAATAATACTTATCTATTTATAAAAAAATTCATCTGATTTTCTAAAAACATATAGAAACAATTTTTGAAACTTTTCTTCTTTTTTCAAACTCCAGTTTTTTTTTTTTTTTGTAAAAATTTTGTTACAGAAAACCTATATAGAAATTCAATGATCTTGTGATACACAGGTGTAGTCAGTCATTGAGTTTCATTGTATCCTCAAAGTTTATTACCTGCAATCCTTTTGCACATATACTAAATAAATAATATGGTAGAAACAAATAAAACTTTTAAAAAATTAACACTATTACATGGTTTAGAGCTTTTCCTCAAAATTTTAGATTTACCAAAAATAGTAATTTCAAATTTTTAGCATTTCTACTAACATTGGTAATGTATTTTTTTTTTTTTACATGAACTCTCTGTCTTATTAACTCCAAAGAAAGTTATCCATTGAGAATTATCATTAATGCCAACGTATTTTATTCTGCACAACTTTTGGTTACTGATTTTCCACAAGGTTCGATGCTTTTTTCTTTTTTTTTATTGTACTTGTTTAAGTTATTGACAATTTGTTCATTACCATTGGAATCATAATTTGTTTATTAGAGGAGAACATCTTTTATTCTCCCTGCCATTATCTTGAACACACATTTCAGAGATAAGAACGATATAACAGGAAGAATGTCACTTGAATTTTTAATTAATTAGTCAATTCATAATTTGTCTTCTTGTACTTGGAATCAAGAGCTAGCTTTCTGCATTTTAGTTCTATTGTTTATAAATTCCATGGGCCATAACGCAAGAGGAAAGGAAGCTGACGCGCAAAACATGAGTTAACAGGTTTTTTTTTTTTAATTAATATAACCAACAGGCATAAATGTTCTTTTTCAGGATTCTCTAACATTTTTGCAATATATGCAACAAGCATGGGGATTTATATGTAATGTTAGACATTACAAATTTCAAAAGTCAAGGAAAAGAATAAAATGTAAGATATCAAGGCTACCTGGCTACCTTTTTCTCAACTTCCAGTTTTATACTCGTTTATAGGAGAATCACTTCCTGATCCTGATCGAAGCTGACAATTATCCACCAGGGGGCTTCAGCTTGCTTATTGGTCTTGCTCCACCACATCCCTGTGCAGAGAAATTGATGCCTACGTGTCATCAAACATTACTTTTGATTTAGGAGTTGGGAGTGGCAAGCCTTTTAATTTTCTGTAGAAATTTTTATATATTACTAATTAGCATTTATAATCTAGCACCCAATGCGCTTTTAGAACCATAATTTCATCTTTCTGAAATTAATTTGCTCATTCCTTGTAAGTTTGATACTATTTATCTGCTACTTATGATCCCATGAGCAAGACAGGAGCTTCATTCCATCAAAGAAGAAGGGCCTCTGATCTCATCAGAATTCTAAAAATCTGAAACAACAGAAGATGTGAAGAGTCATGGAGCTGCCTTAATTTCCAATTTACTTTGTCATCATTGATTTCTGTGACATTGTGAAGAAACATCACTAGTACCAATAAATTCAATTACATCAACATTTCAAAAGAGACGATGAATTCTCAAACCTGTCATGAAAACATTTATTTCCTTCACGGCTTGCCTGTGGCCTCCCATTTGTGGGACATGGCCCCAATTACTCTGGATGATGTTACATTATAATTGTCCCTTCTGCAATACTGTTACTTATGGGGTGCAGAGAACTTTAGCTGAAAACTTGATAGCATTTGCTTGGTTGGAGTATTTGAATTTATACCATCAAAGCATGCAAGTTTTCCATGTATACATTCTTTGTTTGATTCCCAGCCCAACGGACCAGACACAGATTAGACGAGAGCATCAAATTCAGAACTAATCATTCCACAGAATCATAACACTGCTTGTGAATGGAGTTTATTATAATGAGAGTCCACGTTAGAAGTGATTGTGCTTGGAAACAGGGGCTATTTCGAAGAATTCCACTCCAATGATTCTGATTTTTTATATTCAACAAAATAGATACATTTCGTCTACCATTCTTTTTATTATAATCTTATAATTGTTTAATTATAATAAAAATTATGAAAGAGTTCACCATTTATAAATGTGAATTCTATAAAAATTTTTGATGAATTTCATATAATTCTAAATTATTATCGGTTAATTATAATGCAACGATGATGATAACCTTTGCATAACAACGCCTCAGAACTCTGATTCCTGGAATCTTTAACAAGGACCCTTTCGACTGCGTTGCATCATTGGGCCAGGCACTACTGTTCCATTTGTTGTAGGTTAGGCTTTAAGCCTGTCAGAATTGCCATATCATCTAGCTCAACCCAAGCGCCAACAAGAAAACAAATCTTTTGTTAATATTCTTCTTGTTCCGGAGCATTTGCATTTAAAATGCCACGAAATGTTATCTGGTCAACATCTATATTTCATGATATGATGATGGAAATTTTGAGAGGAAAGGAGCTACTAGCTCTAAATAGCCTAAAATTTCGTAAAAGAAAAAAACAGAAAAATTATTTTTTTATAAGATTCAATCTAATTTAATTTTAAATTAATTAAAATTTAAAATAATTATCGCACTGAAATACTAGATAAAAAAAATGCAATTAACAAAGATTGGTTCTTTTTCTTCCTATGTAACCAAGAAACCATTGAGCCATGCTATAAAAAGTTTTTTTTTTTTGTCACTAATTCTTTTTTTAGACCCAAAAAAAAAGAAAGACTAACCCCTTTTGAAGTTTTCGGATTACGTTAAACACACCCACCAACACAGACAGTGGCTTAGCCACCTTATCTATTTCTCACCCGATTTTAAATCACAAAAATACATGTTAATAATTGCAGTTAGCCAAAACAAGAATCACAAGTCAACATCGGTGCACGTATATATAAAACAAAAAGGCTTGTCTGTGGGTGATGATAAATGTTAGGGAAAAAGTACATCAAGCATTATCCTTTCAGATTTGTCTAAAGAAAAATGAATCACTCCATTGATGGAGTGAAGTGGAAAGCCGGTGAGGGTCATGTCTGATGTCCCAATAATAGCACTAAAAAGGATTTAGAAAGTGCTTCAAAACTCCTCCAATCCAATGGGCTGACAGTTGGAAATCATCATGTTGGGTACAAAAAATATTTTGATAGTTTGACATTACAGCTTAACAATCGACAAAACCAGGATAAATGAACAGTGAAAAACAAGGATGTTCTACACACTTCTTCACAACTCACATGCCCACCTTGACTCTGTCCCTGTTGTAGTTTGTCTCCATCTCCCATTGGATGAACCCTTTCGGCGGAATGTCAGAACTACCCAAAGTGACAATACCCTTGCCACAGATATTTTATTAATCGAGGTAGATCCCTTCTTTGATCCTATGGGAAAAATCTGCACCAGTCGGCTTTGGATAAGGCTTGATTGGATGCTATATATCGATCTTGGTGAAGAACGGAATATTAAGAATGAATTTTTGCCAAAATCCAATACCATGTTTCAGTTGATCAAATGGAACTACTCGGAAAGAAACAAAACGTTGAAGAACAAAGATCCAGCATAACGCAATTGGAATTAAACAATATATTACATAGGTGAAGGAAAGAGAACTCCGGAGAATGTACAGATAATTGAAATCCGCATGCCTATCCATAATGTAAAAATAAATAAATAAATAAAGAAAACAGGGTTTTGACTCTTAACCAGCGGCTCGGAGAAGAGGGGGAGTGGAGGAAACAAACGGAAGACTGCGTAGGATAAGGAAACGAATACGCCTTGGAAAAGGAACTTCATTGAACAAATGCTCAAGAACTCTGGCTAACAACACCGTGTACTCCTCCATTAGCTCTGTTAAAACTGCTATCAGAATCATCTCTTCAAACTTGTGTCAGACTAAAGCTAAAGACTCGAAGGCTTGCGATCAACAATCTAACAAATCCAAATAATAAAGTTTATCGCCTCAAAAATATTTATATATATGGTGAAAATTTTGTGGGTCAGTGAAAGAAGGATGTCGATGTTTACATAAGAAAAGGCCAAGTGGGTGATTTGGTAGGGTGGAGAAATCGTACAGGGGAACTCAAAAAGCCGGGTCTACAAATACAACGGCGACTCTGGTTTCTGGTTCTTTCGGAAAAGTAAACGACGAGTAAATATATACTATTAGAGTCAATAGAAGTTAGGAAATTACAAGAGGCGGCAATCAGCACATTAGAAGTATGCAGTTTTGTAATGTCCTGCTGGGTTGAGGAGTGTCCACGTGGAGATTCGCCCACATGAAAGTTCACTTCACCTGTATTAGTTTTTGTTTAGACTTATCTGGACACTGCTACCCTCATCCTTATCCTCTCCAGTCATTCATTTTCTTATTTATTACCATATGACATCTACTAGTAATAATTTAACAGAATTTAATAAAGTACTTCGGTTGTTCTCCCTCATAATTTATCAATGAGAGCTTTTTACGGTCATTCATTACCATAACAAAGAGGAGATGAACTTATTAGGAGTAGAAAATAAAGAGTCTGAATCTTATTTTAATTAATTGATGTAATATTTTTAAGGAATAATATTTAATAAATTTATAATTTAATTTAATTTTTTTAAAAAATTTAGGATATAAAATAAATAAAAAATTTTAAATTTATTGAATCTCAATGCAATTGTTACAATGATTAAATTAAATAATTCAATTAAGCATTAAATTCTTAAATTTCAGTGCTTACATTTATTTTTTATTTTTAAATTGTAATCTTCTTAATATAAAAATATTTAAGCTTGATATTTATATTTTATGTCTAGTAGGAGTGAAAAAAGATTAATTTGATAAAAAGAAATAAGAGAATAAAAAATGTAAATTTACATTTTTCTCTTTAAATCCACTCTTCAAAAATTTTTAAAAAAAAAATCTTTATACTCAAATTAAATATTTTATTTAAAACCTAGTAAGATGATTTTACACAATTTTTCAGACTTTGTTAAAAAAGGAGATTTAGCTTACATCGACAATTCCTGGCATATAAGCAAACAAACAAACAAAAAAAGAGTATTGTTACGAGAAAATTAGAGAATGATCCAAGAATAATTGTCATCATGTATCATAGTTATGCTCTTCATTCACATATACATATAACCCTTGCTTTTATTTTGTTCTTACTGCTCTTCTTTTCTCGTTTTGTGGGAGGTTTGAAGTATAAATTGAATCAGATCCATGTTTCTTCATCTGAATTCTCACAACATTGAAATTGGCTAAATTATATGTTTGACTTTAATGGATTAATATTAATAATAAGTCAACTTTAATTAAGGATAAAAAAATAATATTAGTATAATTTGGATACATTATACAAGTAAGTAAAATTAAAATTTCCAAACATTTTGTTTTATAGAATAGATTAAATATTATTATCTAATAATAAATAAATTTTTAAAAAATTAATAAACAATTTTATAAACGTACTTATTTATGACATAAACCAAAAATACATTTTTGTGTCCTTCAATATCTACTCGTTTGTAAAACGACCTTTAAAATTTGTTCAAAATCTACTTTAATTCCTTCTTTACAAGAGATATCTTCGGGACGCTAACAAAATAAAATCTGTAATTGACCGACTCTTACTCTAAGGACTTCCTTAAAATGGAGAACCACAGTCGAGGAGTCTATCTTGCCTCATCCTTTTAATTCAATATCTGACTTATACTATCCTAGGGATAACTTAGCCGAATAGATTACTAGAAACTTCCCAGCTATAACTAGGGTTAAAAATCACCATCTCTATATATTCTATCCCTGAGATTGCTACTTAAAAGTAAGGCAAAAGGATGGGCTGACTCAAGCAATGTAGGGATGGTTTGTTTAACATAATAAACGAATGTAAACATCAAATTCGAGTTTATTTATGAATTGTTCATTTAATGTAATAAATAAATATAAAGATATAAATTATTCATTCAACGTAATAAACGAAAACAAAAAATAAAAATTGAGCTCGTTCACGAATCATCCGCTCAACGGCAACATTAATTTGGTTTACAATCTTATTTAACGTCAACGCTATTTTAATTTACATTCCTATTTATACGTCAATGATATCGGATCAACCCACTGTAAACTGAAACAATATCTCCCATTTGCTCATACCGAGTCAAGGGAAGTTTAACCTTCTTTTTGTCCAAATAAAGTTTCATTTTTTATTTTTAAATCAAGACATTTAGTCGTTGTTTACAAAGAGAAAGAATATTTTTCCCAAAAAGAAATTAAAAAAAAAAAGAAAAAACCATAGAAGGGAGCCCATCGTTTTGGTGGTGCGCATTTCTCTCATACAACGATCCCCAGTAGCCCACGGTACGCATGAGTCCACATGGGGAGCTTAGACGAGCCCATGTTTGTAATGGAATTCGGTATGCAATCAGAGCAAATTTTTCTACTAACCTTTCAACAAATCCGCCAATTCTTCTCACAGGTCTATGAACTTGGATGAATCAAAACGACTTCAAAAAGAAAAAAGAAAATACAACTCAGCAAAGCTTCAATCAGAGCTCAAACTAAAACCATTGACATTAGAAGCTATATTAATCAATCATGAAGCTTATCAATGCTTCAACCAATGTTAGCAGCAATGGATATGCATCAAATTGCTCTACCGGTGGGCTACAATAAAATTTTGACAAAGGGAAGGTAAAGAAAGATGACAAAAAACACTCTTTCCTACCTACATTCGAAGACAACTCTATTAAGCCAACGGTTAAAAAGAAAGGTCATTGCATAACTTATTTTACAAAGTACTCTGCCCTATTCTTTAAGTATATGCTTATACATGGGACACAAGTTAAGATACAGCGGGAGACCACGTACCTACAGCATATTTCAACATCAAGAATTCAAGATCTGTCACCTCCATATTCCCACGACAAGAGCGAACAAGATAGCAACAACGAAAACAGTGAAAACAATAACCGATAGGGAGCTTGTGTGATGATGCATGGACACTGCCTTGGAATGCCCTGATGGACCCATTTGGCTGCTACGATGCTCACTATCTTGCTTAAGCCTCTGTCTCAGTTTTGTACAAGATTCATTAGTAACATCCTCGCTTGAATCCGACTTGAGTAACTGGCTCTCTTTCTCTGACTCATCAGAGCTAGAAGTCTGTCCGGTAGCTTCTGCTTCTGTGACCTGCATTGAAAGCATTGAAAGATATTGCTCAATAAGTAAAATGTACTTCAGTAAACTAATATATGCATAGCCAAACCCAAAGATAGGTAAGATAAATACGCTTCAATAGATCAACAGCACTCAAAATTAGATCTTGCTGGTTACCCTACCTCAGTTAGAGCAGATTGAACTTCTTCTTCACCGAGGCCGGCACTTGTCATTTTGCCATCAACACAGCCTGCAGAAACTTTCATTGGCCCAGTAGAAAGTTTCATTTGCAAGCGTATTCTTCTTGGAGCAGTGCCCTGATTTAGAATGTTGTCTGAATTTGATTGTTGCTGAGGTCCACGGGTCCTAATCTTGATTCCAGTTCCTAGAGTTCCAAAATTTTCTGAATTTGGTTGTTGCAGAGACTGATAGGTTCCAGTTCCACCAAGATCACCACCGTTATTCATATAATTCTTTAGACTAGTTAATTGTTGCAAATTATTAATATCACCGATTGCAGAATTAATAGATGAAGTTGCTTCGCCAACAGAATAATTTCCAAGACCAATATCTCCAGTTCTAAATTCTCGGTCATTAAGCATTGTTTGAGTATTGCTAGACTCAAAGGAAGTTTGCATTTGCTCAGGTTCCTTGTTATCAATATGCCCACCAAACCAGCTAGGCGCTCCAACCTCTGATTCATGCTGGTAAAGAAGTTCAACAGATCAAACATAAGTTAGGATCCAACTGTATACTAAATCTAAGTGCCTTACAGGTGAAAAACAAATAAAAAAAAAAAAAAAAAGGCAGAAACCCAGAGTGAAGCTCCAGTAAAGAGATAATGACATGAAAATGAAGTTCATTTTGATGGTTATTCAAGACCTCATCCCACAACAAGACAGATACATCTTGTCCGCTAGTCCCATCCTGGAAACCAAACCCATTTTGATCATAGCCAAAATCACTTGCATAAAGAGAATCCATGCAGAGTTGCAGATCTTCAAAAAGATGCGAGCTCATTGGCGAGAAGACTTTGTAGTTAATTTCACCAAAACTGGGCTCATACAAATTTGAATTGCCTCCCAGGAGTGGATACTTCTGTTTTAAAAAGCAAGACACGCGTCACTTGTCAAGAATCATGATATCATGAAGATAAAACGATGATTCATGCAACAATGCCAGAATATAGACCAATTGTCGACTTCTCACCTCTACCATAGTTTCTTCAGCTGCACGATCTTCTGCTTCAGAAGTCATATGACTATTGCAGCTGCTGTCACCCGTTATTTGACCATTTTGTGTTGAGTTATCGGGCTTTTGAGCTTGTGTCTCAGATGACATGGTATCTTGGAGAAGATCCGATGAAGTGTCATCAGGAGAAGATTTTGTCATTGCAGGCGAATATCCAGTTTGTTCAACTTTATCGTACTTCACAATACCATTCTTCTCTTCGGGTTTATGAAACAATCGACATAGAACAAAAGCATCCTGCACCAAAAAAAGGGTCCAAGTCATAAAATCATTCCAGGTTTTCTTTCAACTTTTTCTTCTTGGCCTTTTAATCAAACCATAAAACTAATAATAACAAAACTTCAAGTAGATGATTGTATTTTTGCAGTAACTTAAAACTGAAAACAACTAAAAATTAAAAATGAAAACCTGGCCAGGAGCGGTGCCGTCCAGGTCCTTCGTAGTGGGGCGGTATTCGTGCATGATCCAATTGGTACGCTGGCCCTTGGGAGCACGTCCCTTGTAAAAAACCAAGGTCTTCTTCATGCCGATGAGTGACTTTTTGGACTTGATGGTTCGATCCTTACCCGTGGCTTTCCAGTATCCCTTATTCGTTGCTCTGTTGGAACGTTGGCCGTTGGGGTACTTCCTGTCACGCGGGCAGAAGAAGAACCACTGTGTATCGTCCGATTTTATCACTGAAAGTCCTGAATTTAATTCCACCATCCCAAAAAATAAATTTAAAAGATTTGACTAAATTAGGAATAAAAAAAATCTCAGCATACTGAGAGGAATTTCAAAAAGTTAAACTGAAATTACCAGTTGTAGAAAGCAGGAATCGAATTTATAAACTATAAATTTATTTCATGGATTGGAGGAATAAAGCAATTGAAGCTGACGCTTTGTCTAAAGTATCAAAGATTCAGAACAATTCTTCACCCAATAACTTCTTTCTTTCCTTTTTTTTTTAATTCCCGGTAAAACTAAATATTTAAAAGAAAAGATAGAAAAATACCAGGCAAATCCCAGGGCTCCCATTTGCAGACATCAATTTCAGCAACGACCTGGACCTCGGAATGACGACCGTTGATCTTCAATCTAAGGTAGTGATTGATGACTTCTTCGTCTGTCGGCCTGAATCTATATCCTAGAGGTAACGTTTCCATCGTTAAAACTGCCATCCTTTTCCTTTGCTGAACCCTAAACTCAATATCCAGTACCACACCTTTTTTTTTTCTAGTTTTCGAAAAAAAAAAGAAAGGAAAAACAAAAACGTCTCCGATAACTTAACCAAGGCTGTTTTATCTTTAGATTTTGGTTTTGGAATTTGTTTTTCTCTCTCCTACTAGATTTCTTGCCCAGCTAATTTGTTGTTCTAACTCGGGTTTCTCTTTCAGTTGCTACCTCCGTCCGGTCGCTTTCCTCCTAGGTGGTAGGTAACTGGTGAGCCCCACTAGACATCAGTGAGTCTCACGTGATCATGTCCCTGCTTGCGGCTGTGTCGCTCTACCATTCGGTGGATTGACTAATCATTTATGCGTATACAGGGAAGACGATGAGACCCGCCCGCAGCTTATAATAACCAGTGTGGACATCAAATTCATTCTATTGAGTTGGGGTTGGGGTAAAGGATCGTATAATTACTAAAATACCCCCTCAACACTTTTTCATTGGGGGCTTGTGCTTAGCTTATCGAGCAAGCCTTTCCTTCTTACACTGAAAAAAGCAGTCTCAGTAAGGCTAAGCTTTTTTATTGCCTTTCGGCTTTGAGCAAAGAGGAGCCAAAAAAACTCCTCGTGCGCCTGGCTCTCTATGATTTTATAGTGGTATTAGCCCACAAATTTTTTGTTTGACTCATCCATGTCCTTCGTAGAATTTTAGTATTATTTTGTTAGCAAATCATGAGTTTTCAATAAACAAATTTACTTGTATCCGCACATTTAATTTAATAATTAATAAATTATTTTTATATTCAAAGAGCTGAATCGAACCTTCCAACTGCTTTGAGGGGAGGTGCCTAATAGTTTTTCAGCATCCTCTCCCGTCTGCTTGGTTGGAGTATATATCCATACCATCAGGCCATAAGAATTGGTCTGCTCGAGAGAGATCAAATTTGATCCTTTGAAACAAGTAGGTTGAAAACGATTTGCTAACTTCGATGGTCAAAAAAGATTTGGCCGGGCCTTCAAAGCCACAACCTTTATTCGCACACGCACGTCTCCATACAATGTAAAGTGAGTCCTGCCTGTAACACTAGTCCCTGAAATTATACCTTCATTGCTACATCCTGTCCTCTTCTATGCCAAAAGAAAGGAAGCAAAATAAAAAAACAATACAACAACAACTACTACTACTACCACCAATCAATTTTCTCTCTTAAATAAAGAAAAGAACCCAAACATTAATCTGGCAACTCCAACCAATGGGCATAGCAGCAAGCTTCCATCAAAAGCAGTGGAAATGGAATTGACATTTTTCTGCAGACTGCTTTCCCTGGTTGTTAGGTTCCCCTTTCAAAACAAATTATGAAGATCCACTGTATGGATCCAGGATTATATCACTTTGATTTGAAGACAAAATCAATAGCTATGAAATACAGGAATACAATTACTCCTATAAAACCCCTCAGCAACGAAACTAGAAACAATGAGATACATTTCCAAACCAAAAGTTCCACATCCAGTTTGACTGTATAAATTCTCAAACCATTCAAGGAGAATGTCTCAAACTCTATCATGGTTATAAATGAGAGTAGCAGTAACAAAAAATGGTGCCCTCCCGGAATGATAAGATGAACATTATATAAAAACAACAAGAACTCAATAATTGGTTTGTAGGCTCAAATTTTACTATATACAGATTTACCTACAAAGCGGGATGGTACCCAATATTTGCATTTGTTTCTACCCTTTGCACAGCTCTCCTAATACTCCACTCATGGCAGAATTCCAGTGCAAGTCGAAGAGTGGTTCCAAGTCCTAGGACAACAATAACACCTGTACCATGGCTCTTCAAGTTACAACATCATAAAGCATAAAAGCTACTTCTTAAGAATGTGATTTCCTATAAACAGGTATGATAAGAATCTGAGTGAGGTGTACATACCAATCATGATGTTAATAGGCAGTGCAGAGACACCAAGAGTAATGGTTATTAACACATCCAACAATAGACCACCAATGAGGATTGAGAATGCCATCCATAGTGGACTAAAACAACCCTGTCATAAAAAGTGATTTGATGCAAAATTAACACAAACAGGTAGAGTTTTTACAAGAATAAGACCCCAGTAGACTGGCTGCAGTTATCCACTTACCCTTTCACGGTTATGTGGTGCAAAGCTTGGATCAACCCTCCAAACCCAGTAACTTGTCTGCACCATGAAAAACATTTGAGAATCAATATTGGCATGATGATGAGATGCTATAGATAAACCACAAAACATGCTAGAAAGCCGCAGCACCAGTGCCCAATTTCGCTTTGGATCAAAACTCAATATTATCTATCAATAATGCTTTTAAAGTGCTAGAACGCAAAATCACAAGAGGCACTGTGTGTCTTTCATCTCCCCCCTCCCCTCTCTCTCTCTCTCTCTCTCTCTCTCTCTAAAATTTGTATATGGCACGCATAATAGTAGGCAAATAAACAACTAATACTCAAACCCCGCCAAATTCAATCTTCAGCTTTGTTTTAATATTCAGCTCTAAGTTTGGTTTGGGCAATAAAACACCCTTGTTGGGAAACCAACGCCCCCAAAGATAATATGAAACTTCTTGCATCGAATAGGGAAACAAGCAAACGTATTGCTAGCCCTTTCACTTAAGCACAGAATACCTACACTTGGCTCAGACACAGGAGTTGTCACGTTTACGGCTACTACTCTGCATGACAACAGTAACTGAATCATGATTTCTGCTAGAAATAAGCTAATTTAATGTAGGAAATAAAATTTTGAATGACTTACAGGCATATTTCGCATTTGTTGGATCCTTTTGTATGAAACCAAGTGTCAATGCAAGACTGATGCGCTTTTGCAAGGCCACCTTTACATTGGCATCCAAGATCTATAAGACATTCTTCCTTCTCCTGTTGACAAACTCTGAAGAATAATATAGATAGTAATGAGTAATAGTATGGGATACTGCAGATTGTTTTCAAGATTAATCTTTGAAAAACAAATTGAAGGCCAGAAAAGGTCGTCACACTAACGGATGGTATATTTAAGATTGTTGACTTTGACATGATACATAAGACGACCTGAATATGATGAATATTACAAATCCAATCTCTTTGAATATACTCCCAACATGCTTTGATTATACAAGAAAGAGAATCAAAATGAGAAGTAGTCTTTCGAAGTTTCAACACTGCCACTATCGAATCAGATTCTAAAATTATAAAATGAAAGCCATGGTCCCAACATAGCTTAAGACCATAAGATACTGCACTACATGCATTTGACACTTGATAATGAAACAGAAATTAGGAGTTACCGTTTATACACTCCATTATTAAATAATATGTTTAGAAAGTATAATTAGGGAAATAAGACTACTCTCAAGACTAGACAATTAACATGATAAGATAAAAAATTCATCTATGGAACCCCATGACCACAGCTAATAAATACTCAAGAATATGTGATGATTCACATTCTTATGATGATCCATGCTATCCAAAAACAATCAACTATTGAAAACATAAAATAGAAAAGGCACATAAATAAGGATACTGGATGTATTAAGTATGATTGGCAGAAGATGCAGAACAGGTATAATATACCTGCATTGCTCATGAGAACTAGTGGTCCTCGAAATATACCCCTTTTTTGTAGAAGCCACACGAGGCAATTCCTCTTTAATGGACTCTACATCTTTGGCTAATTTAGCTATTTGCTGCTGAGTCACATGAGACTGGCCCTTCGTTACCACAATGTTTAACAATGTGGGATTGGCCTCATAGGCTGAATCCCCAACTGAGCCTGGCTGTCTTTCCTCCTGAGGCAACACTGGGATGTTTCCCTGCTTCTCAAGGTCGGGTTCAGGTAAATTACCGGAGAGGTCACCAGCTATGCTGCTAGTCCCATTTGAACCTTCATTTTGCATCTTATTGTTATTTGCAGCGTTTACCACAATCCCTTTTTGATCTAAAATATTTAATTCTCGAGAATCCCCCTAGCCCCTCACTGTTCATTAAAAAAAGAAAATAGAAGAAACACGCTTCAAAACTGCCATTGAATCTAAACCCTAGAGTTTACTCAATTTTGCAAGTAAAATTGTAAAACGCCAAGCTTAAACCCCTCAAAATTGTGCTTGAAACAGAATGCAACAGACACTTTCCGTTTCATTGATTCCAAATAAACAATCAAATAAAAATACTATAAAACAAAAAGCAACACATCAGCGATAACCACTAACCAAGATGGAAAACTTAATTTCAGCCCTGAAATTAGCTCGGACCCACTGAAATTTTTGGTGTGCACAGACCAAAAAAATATATCCAAAAGGAGAAAAAAAAAAAAAAACAGAGACGTTAAAAATTTTGTACAGAAAGGTGAGGAACGTGTACCTGAAGACTTCTTGTTCCTTTGAATCACTCACTGTGGAGTTTTGTTGACAGTTGAGATGAAGAAGCAATGGCAACAATTAAGCAGACAGAGCAACAAGAAACAATAGAGAAAGTGGAAAAGAGAAAAAAAAAATGCAAATACTGAGTACTGACTAAGACGATTTGGCGGTTTACTTTTCAGAATTTTATATAATTAATTAATTAAATACGAATTTGACTATTTTTTATGCATGCATTTTTCCCATTTTTGTTTTTTAATTTTTAATTTACGTATAATTTTAATTTTTATCCGTTAGATTCATTTAAAAAAAATATTATGCATTTAAATGCTCTCAAAATTGAGTGAATCTTTTGTTAATATTGGGTTAAATTTTTAACATATGTTTGAATAAATATTAATAAAAAATAAAAATAAAAAAAAGTTTTTTAAATGAAAGAAAAATATATATGTAACTTTTGTTTGTATAATTAAAATTCATAAAATAAAAGAAAAAAAAATTTTAATAACTATTATTTGGATAAAGAATTAAAAAAAATATAATTTATTATAATAATTTTTTCAATTATAATTTTTTATTGTTTGTGATTTTAGAGCATTCATGAACTATGATATATTTACTATCTTATCTGATTTTACAATTGTTACTGTATCAATGATTTTTAATTATGTGAAACAAGAAGATATTTTACAAATATGCATTAATAGATTTTGAATTAGTTTGTCATCTCATAAACTTAAAAAATATATCTATTTATATTCAACTATTCTTCAAAATCAAAATCACTAAAAAATTATAAAAAAATTTTATATTGAAAGAGAGATATGAAATTTACTTGAAAAAAAATGACTTTTAAAAAATTATAAAATAATTATGATCTGTTTAGGTTTTTTATTAAATTTTTAGTATTAATAAAAATATAGACATAATAATTTTTTATAAAAAAATATTTTTTAAATTTTCTTTTTTAAATTTTTTTTAAATTGAGGTATTAAAAAAATTAGATTTATAAGAAAAACTAAAAGTTATTTGATTTATTTATTTTTTAATTAAAAATTTATCTAAACAAAAAAAAAGAGATTTTATTTCTTTTATATTTTTTTACTTTAATTTTCTTTTTGTTTATGCCTTCAATTCAAACATGCTGTTAGTTATTGATCTTTCAATGGCTATAGAAGGTTTTTGGCAATTTTGGGTCACTCACTGACCTTTCAATGTTTATTTGCTAAATTTTATTAGTAGCTAAAAATTTCCGAAAAGGTGGAGCGTCGAAACAAAGGGTGGCTTTTTTGGCAGGAAACTAGAAAATGACAGTGAAAATGCTGTATTCTAACTTATTATTAAGGGCAAGGAGGATTGGTTTACAAGGGAACTAAGGATAATTATGACCCCATCACACCTGCCTACAAAATGGGTATGGTATTATTGTATATTACATGTTTGGTATGTTATGATAATAAGGCAGGCAAGGATTCAGAGTACTCCTTTTAATCATCCATTATTGGGAGTTGAACAGACAATAATGATCTGTATTAAGGTGGAAGAACTTAGTTTGTCCCTCAATTGGATATCAACATTGAAGAATTGGAGACTGCTCACCTTATTAAAGGACATAGGAGCTGAAAAGTAGAGAAAGAAAAAGGCTTAACAACAAAGCATCATTTTCTTATTTATTAAATAAGGGATAAAAGATAAGAATGATGAGTTCAAACTTTAATTTTACGTCTCTTCTTAAGTTTTATTAACCACTGCACCGAAAGGCTGAAGATAAAAGTAGCATGTTTAAGGGTCATGCTCAACGATTATCATGATTTTAGATGCTTCTTGTTTTTAGGAGAGGATTAGTAGCCCAATCAGAAGGTTTCAACCTTTTTGAATTGACCAGAGACCAAGTCGTCATAATTCAGAAGGACCAACAGGCCCAAGAGTCAAGACGCTCCGCAAGTCCCTGTGGTGTTCCCACAAGATGGACCAAGAGGCCCGGTCATGTCATGCGAGACATATGAATCAGTCCAGGTCTTGATGCAGCAGCAGTCTGGCATTTGTTCAATTATTGGAACAAGGATGGGATCTTACCAATATTCTTAATTCTCTGGAATGTTGCCAGGAGGCAGCAACAGGCTCCCTCCACGACATTTTCATGGATGATTTGAAAGCCTAACCAAAGAACAAATACAAGGCCTTCTTAATTCTTCCGTCGACAACGCCATGACCAAAAGAAATCTACTATATATGATTTATATATATAAAAGTGTAAATTCTAAAAATATTAATAGTGAATGACATAAATATTTTTATAAATTTTAAAAAATAATAAATTTATTTTAAAATTTTTAGCATTATTTATTTATTTAATAATGATTATTTATCATTAAATATATAACTTTTATTAATTAATTATTTAAATTTAAATCTAAAAGTATTAAAAATGAATAACATAAATATCTTTATAAATTTAAAAAAATAATAAATTTATATTTCAATTTTTAGCATTTTTTATTTATTTAATAAAGATTATTTGTCATTAAAAATATAACTTTTTATTTGTTAGTTATTTAAATTTAAATCAATTAAAAATTTACAAATAAAATTTATATCAAATTAAATTATATTAAAATTTTATTTGTGGGATATGGTGAGCCTGTTATCCAAAATTAAAATTCTTTTATTAAATTTCATAAGTAATAATTCAATCAAATTAATATAAAACACATTATTATCTTATGGGTTATGACATACTATGAATCTGTGATATTGAACAAAACATAAATAATTTTTTTCCTATTTCTCAATTACTAATTGTTTTAGTCTAAATTATTAGAATATAATGTGCATACCCCAAAACATTTAACTTTATCTTAAGTAAAGCATATAATTTTTCATTTTCAAGATATAATCTAATTTACTCTTAATCTTTTTTAATGCCACATATCATGAGTCCTTAAATATATTTATATTTTTTGTTTATTTATTTAGATTAATTGAAATTAAAGTTCATACAAAATTATAAATTAAATTATAAAAAAAATTATTCAAAAAGAGTAATATGTGTATTATAGTAAATTTATATGTTTGATTATTTTTATTTTTATGATAAATATAAATTTTTATGTTTAATGATTGCAATGATTGATTATAATATTTCTAATTACTCTATGCAATCACACCTTAACATTATAATGCTTAAATGAATGTTTATTTTATGAACAAAATCTCATGTACCATTGAATCATTACTAAACTTAGTTTTTATTTTATCTTTATAGATTGATTCTATACTACACCTAAGTTAATTTCGGTCTATCTTTAACTTTTTATAGTTAATGTCAAATATTTAGTACTTAAGATATTTTTATGAAACCAAAGTCAATATTGCTAAGAAACATTAATCTTGAAGAAAAGAAATTATTTGATATATTGTTAGTTGAATTTTTTTTATCTTCACAAACGGGTTAAGAAATTAATACATCACCCATTTTTTTTTAATTTATTTTTTTTAATATACTATAAAGCCTAAAAGGTATATGTCATATTGCTAACTTCATTTGTGAAATTTAAAATTTATATTATCAATATATTTTATGATTTTTCCTCGAAAAATATAAATTTATTTTTTTCAATTAAGAATACTCTAACATATTTTTGTGTTTTGATAGTAAAAAATATTGATTAATTGTGTGTATTTTGTTGAATGATCAGAGCTTTGTTAGTGCTCCAAACAATATTAAAAGTGATTTTTTTAATTAGGTAGACTCTTATTAATAATACACTACAAGCCAATCATGCATATTTAACTAATTCTTCAATTCATAAAGAAAGGAAGACTTATAATTGAACTCATTAATTGCATGATAAAAAATTTGAAGTATAAAGATGTGAAATAAAATATATTTATTTATATAGTCTTATAATTAAGATAAAAAATTAACTCAATTGATAAAATTAAATTATATATATATACAAAAATAAGATAAATGATCAATTAATATTTCATATATATCCTAAGATTACTAAATTAGTTTTTTTATTATTCAATGGGTCAATATATCATAATATATATGAAAATAAAAAAAAAAAGATTATAGATGATAACGAGAACTTTGATTTTTTTTTTTCAATTAACGTGTAAAATGTGCTCTATTTGGAATTTAGCCAACTTTACTATACGTAGTTATTTAAATTTCAACTAAAAATTTATAATATTGACAAACATTTGCATACTTTAGATTTTATAACCTACTTTAAATAAGAAATTTTATAATTAAGAAGATGTTTGATATATATCTATTTTATATATAAAATGTAATAATTTATTGAATTATTTCTACTTATTTTTATTTAATATTTTTTAGAAAATTAAAATATTATCTACTTTTTATTTATTTTTTATTAAAATATCTTAGTTAAGTCATTCATGCCCCACTTAACGTAAGCAATACAGTTGGAAGATTTAAAATAGTTCTTCTATATATGAATATTTTAGTGTTTGTAACACATTTGACCTATTAATGTGTTTTATACAATTAAATTAATTATAGAGGAGTTAGTGGTAAATAAATTATAACATAGTAGTAAATGTATAATATTCCCTCTATCTTATTTTTTTGTCTATTTTTTCTTTTTGGGATGTCCCAAAATTTTGTTTATTTTTTGTTTTAAACATCTAAAACTCTTACCTTTTTATATTTTAAATTATTTTTTATGATTTTTTTTTACTTTTTAACATTAAAAATCATAAAACTTGAATTTTATAAAAAAAATAATTTTAATATTAAATACATTAAAGTCAAAACTTTTTTTTAACTTCATAAAAGTCAATACAAGACAAATAAATAAAGACAGAGAGAGTAATATAGTAGCAAATTATTAATAATTTTATTGTAAATTAGTGATAATTTAGACAACATTAGTAATAACTTTATATTTAATCAATGATAACTGTATATTAAATTATGGATAACTTAATAATAAATAAATAAATAATAATTTAGTAGTAAATAATTGATAAGATAATTGTATGCCAATGACAACGTAATAATAAATACATAATAAAATAATAGTAAATAATAAATAACTTAATAGTAAATTATTTATACATAATTGTAAATATATAATAATACAATAGTGAATTAAGGATAATTTAATAAAAAAAAAGTGATAACTTAATAGTAAAGTAATGATGACTTAGTTGTAAATTAATAATAATTTAATAGTAAATTTGATTCAGTTTAATACTTTTTCCATCCTAGTAAAATTGTCACATTTTTATTTTTGTTGGTCAATTTTTACTTTAATAACAGATTATTTTATATTTATTATTAATAAAAATATGAAAAAAATATATTTTAAAAACTTTAAATAAAATGGTTTCTAAATATATGTTTTATAAATTTTGATTTATTAAAATATTTAAAATAATAGATGTCAAAATTAGAAAATTTTAAGAAAAAAAAAAGTCAATTGTGACAATTTAACTGGGATAGATAGAGGGAATAGTAATTAATTGACAAATTTAATGGTAAATCATAAAGAACTTAATAATAAATTAATGATAATTTAGTAGTAAATAATTTAGAACTTAGTAGTAATTAATAATTAAAAATTAAAAGTAAATCAATATAACCTAATAATAATCATCGATAAATTAATAGTTAATTAGTGATAATTCTGTATAGTAAATTAGTGATAACTTAATAATATATTAATAATAATTTAATAGTAAATAATTGATAACTTAGTAGTAAATCAATAATAATATAATAGTAAATGCATAATAACTTAATAGTAAATCAATTGTAACATAATTGTAAATGCAAAATAGCATAGTAGTAAATCAATGATAACTTAATAAAAAATAAAATGATAACTTAATAGTTAATCATTGATAATATAATAGTAAATCAATGAAAATTTAGTAATAAATTACAGAAAACTTAATAGTAAATTTGTTTTAGTTTAATAGTAATTCAATTATAAACTTAGCAGTAAATCATAAATAACTTAGAAATAAATCAATGATAATTTAGTAGTTAATCACTAAAACTCAATAGTAAATCAATGATAACATGGTAGCAAATGCATAATAGTATATAGTAAATCATTGATAATTTTATAGTAAATTATTGACAATTTAGTAGTAAATCACTAATAATATTATAGTAAATTATTGATAACTTGCTGTAAATCAGTGATAATTTAGTATAAATTAATAATGATTTAGTTGTAAATTAGTTAATTATTAACAACTTCTTAATAAATCATCAATAACTTTATAGTAAGTTAGTAATAATTTTATAATAAATTATAGTAAATTAGTAATAACTTTATAATAAAATTATTTAAAACTTAATAGTAAATTATCAATAATTTAGTAATAAATCGTTTACAACTTAGTGATAAATTAATGATAATTTAGAAGTAATCAGTGATAAGATAGTAATAAGTAATTGATAACTTATTTGTTAATTAGTGATAACATTTTTCTATACTTCAAGTTACCTGTGATTGAACCTTGGCTACTAGAAAGAGCAAAGCTAGAACTTTCATCATTAGGAACTAGAATAAACCTACCATGAACTTATTCATTAAAAAAAATTAGTAAAAAAAATTCTAAATTTGAATGAAACAATGATGTTATTATATAAAAAATTATCTCATATATTGTATTTATTGATAAATTAATAGTAAATCATAAATAACTTAGTAGTAATTCAATTGATAACTTAATAGTAAATAATTAATAACTTAATAGCTAATTATTAAAAAGTTAGTAATTGATCAATGGTAATTAGTAAATACATAATAATATAGCAGTAAATCATTGAATTTAGTAGTAAATCACTAATGATATACTAATAAATTATTTATAATTTAGTTGTATATCAATAATAATTTAGTAATAAATTAGTTAATCATTGATAATTTTATAGTAAATCATTTATAACTTTATAGAAAATTAGTTATAACTTTATAATAAATTATCAATAACTTAGTAATACATTATTCATAACTTAATAGTAAATTATTAATAATTTAATAATAAATTATTAATAACATAATAATAAATTAGTTATAATAATATATCAGTGTTAATTTAGTTATAATTTATTGATAACTTAATGATAAATCGGTTATAATTAAGTTGTAAATCGGTGATAACAATAAATTAATGATGATTTATAATAAATCAATTTTAGCTTAGTAGTAAAGTGTGGATAACTTAATAATAAACTATTCATATTTTAATAGTAAATTAGTGATATAATTTAGTAGTAAATCATTGATAATATATAGTAGTAAATCATTGCTAACTTTTTTTTTTTTGTTTTGGTTGAATATTAATATGGAGCTATATTTTTTTAATATGTGTAACATATTTGATTCATTTAAAAAATTATATTTATTGCCATTTATTACTAAGGTATTGAATTACAAATATTTGTGGATATTGTACACATATATAAATGATTAAAACAATATTCATATACCAATTACTATAACAACATAATTTTATTGAAAAAAAATTAAAATTTTAAAGTGAAAATTTGGAATGACTTTATCTAAATTTGTATGTTATTGATTGTCTACTTGATAATAAATTAATAGTAACTAGAGTAATGCTATATCTTTACTAAAAATAAATTGTTGTGTTATGTGGTATCCTTTATAACACTAATAGCAACTATATAAAAAATTATTGTCTTTAAAGATATTTTTAAAAAGAAAGAAAGAAATAATGAGTCTAAACTTATTAGAAAACACCATAAAAAAATTATGTATAAATTATTTTTTCAAGTACATAATATTTTAAATTAAAATACCTGATTTAATAATATTAATAATAGTATGAATTCTATAAATTATAATTTTATAATAATATCGATTAAATGATGAATTTTTTGTATGACTTATACTAAATATATGATTAAGTATTCGTCAAACAAAGAAATTACTCTATTTTAAATAAAAAAGAGTTCAAATATTAAAAATATATTCATTATCAATTTTAAAGTCAAGATTTAAAACATAGTTTACCTTCAAAATATAATAATATCTTTAGATATTTATCTAAAATACGTCATATCTTATTAATTTTAGAATTCTTATATTTCGTTATTTAACAAACAATAACAATATTGAACCAAATTCATTGAGAAGAGTATTTCAATATTTAAAGAACAACATAAAAATACCATTTGATTATGATAAGATATATCTTTAAGTAAAGTGTGTTACTTAACTTTTATTATAACATATTTTAGTAAGTTATACATATTTGTGGCTTTTTAAGAAACCAATATTCAATATTAAAAGTAGTTTTAGTTAATATCCCTTGTAAATACATAAATAAACATTATTGATGATTACATTGAGATATTAATAATTCTGGATTGCTTCAAATCCTTTTTTTTTAGAATATGTTTATGTAATATTTTTTAATTAGTAAAATTCATGTAAGTATGCAATTTTTTACTATAAAATTAAACTACAAAATGATTTATATGACATAATTAAATACTTATCAAAATCAGAGGTAAGTAATCATGAAAAAGAAAACATTATATATTTACTTTATTTCAAGCAACAAAAACTTTATAACAAAATATTTCAAATCAAAATAAAGAATTTTAATTTTAACTAGCAAATAGATGAAAGCAAGAGTTTAAATGAATTCAACAATGATCGATTGTCTCAAAAATTTATAAAATTGAAAATAAAAATCCACTACCAAAAATGTTTTTAAAAAAAAATTGAGAAAAAGCATAAAATAGAGAATAAAAGAAAGTACAAAATCAGATTTGATTATGATAAAAGATAATCTTTCGAAAAAATTTAAAAAGAAAGGAAAATATATAAAAAAATGAATGAAGATGATAATCTAAAAACAAAAGACTTAAAAAAAAGTCAAAATAGAGAAAGATTAAATATTTATTTTTTATTGAAATTTTAATTTTAATTTTTTGTTATATTTATTTTTTTCAAACTTAAATTTATATTTTCAATTTAATTTAATATAATGATAATTATTTTAATTTAATTACTATAAGAGTAATAAAATTATAATTTGATTAACAATTACGTCCTATGCACGTAAAAGAAAACTAATATATGTATATTACAACGGAAGCCTCGAATCAGGTTTGGTTTTGAATAAAAAATAGAGAAAATGCTTATTTCCGTATGTCCATCTAGGTTAACAGTCTACCTAGCCTGTTTTTCAATTACAACTGGCTCAAGTGCTCATTGAGGATTCTTCTTCTGCAGGGGAAACGGGCTAATAAGGTTGGACCTGATAATTTAATTGATGGCCAGGATTAATAAGCGTTTACCTTCTATCAAAGTTCAAAGATTCAACTTCCATGCATAAAAATGGTGAGGCTTAGAGTTATTAATATTACCTGAACCCAAGCCTCAAATTTCCTAGAGTATAAGAATTATCATAGCTAAAGTAAAAAGGTCAGAATGAAAGCTTTGATAATGTCAGTACCAGAATGATTCTTTCCCTTCAAATCTCTTGAATGAACAATCTAAAAGCGTAAGAATGACAAAATTATAATCTATAGGAGTTTAACCAATTGTCAAGCAATCCCTCTCCTTTAAGCAGGGAATAAATTAAAATACTTGAATTGTCATGTAAGGTACTTCTTTATTCCATCAAACTATTTTGGCCCTACAGCTGCTCTTATATCTAAGTGTTTTCAGTTTGAGCTCCAACTCCAAATCATATTTTCCAATCACAGTCAGCTTCTTCCTTCCCAACCCAACCTTGATTTTTCCTTTTTTTTTTTTTTTTTTTTTACAAAATAATGCCTCTCGAAACAAGCATGCCTGACCAGTCCACTGGTGAAGGAGATAAACACAGGCACCTTGACAAAGAAATCAAAGACATGGTCTCTGCCCTAACTCACCGCATATCTGGTATTCACAAACCCGGATCAAGCCACCATGAAGATGATGATGATGAGCATGGTGTGAGAATTATCACAATTTCTGGAAACAATGCTGGAGCTACAATGCGAAGTGAGTTGGATGAGAAATCCAGTCCCCATGGAATTCCACCTGGCGAGTCTGATGCATTGAGTACCTATGTGAACAGCAATTTCCAAGCTGTGAACAATTCAATCATGCTCGGCAGCAGCTACAACACCAATGATCCAGGTGTCCATTTGGACGTCTCGGATGCTTTTGAAGATGAGGGCAAGAAGCCAGCAGATAAGCCCAGGAGGAGGGGAAAGAAAAAAGAGAAGGATTCCTCCAATAGTGAACATTCCGATTAAGTTAATGAACAAGAAATTGCAGCTAAAAATAACATGGTGCAAAAGTGCTGAAGAGAAGTCTTTGTCTAAGTCGATATACTTGCATAAAATAAATCTTTGTATTGCTTTACTATATCCAGGATCATGTTTGCACGACAGCCATAAAAAATTAAGGGAATCAAAGTATTCCTATAGCATTATTATCTTTGATATAGATATGGTTCGGTTTTTTCAGCATGATTGTTAGCCATGCTCTAGGGTGTCAAACAGACAAATTAATAATAATTAAGTGTTGAACTTTCAAGTTCATATACGCATCCTCTTGAATCTTTAATTGCAAGTAGCTGACCTATTCTGATTAATTCTCTTCCTCGGATGCTTCTTGTAATTATAATGGCCCCTGACATTGTGGACATTGTGGCCCAGAGATATCAGATACTGCATCACTATTTTCCCTGTTATATGTAAGTCATAACTTGGTTTGCAAAGTCTACCAAATCCTAATATGCAATCTGGATTTAGTTGAAATTGAACACAAAAATTTGCTATTGCATTGCTAAGTCTATACATAGAGTTAATATTTGATACACTTTCAATATATCACTCTTATACTGTCAATCAATAATAGGATGACACCTTATTTAATGAATAAAAATTAAATTTTCAAGCCTTAAAAGTAAATATTATTAATTTTTTTAAGCTTAATTAATTATTAAAATTTTACTCTCTCCTAATTTTTTTTTGGCCTCCCTTTTCAATAGTATGAAACACTCGTACCCATTTCTAATCTTGTTATTTCAACTGCTTCACTCACAGTTACAAAGGTAGAGATTATTCTTCAAAATAGAGGAGGATCATTATTATTTTTCTCATACAGATTTGCTGCTCATAGGTTAGTCATCTTTTCAGATTTTAAATTTAGATTTTTTCAAAACAGATAGGTGGGAACCGTTGGATGATAGACTTCTTCCTTAAGAGCTATTTAGACCTTGTCCCCATAAAAAGTTGTTGTTTCTATGTTTGTTTAGAGAAATTTAGTGAACTTTGTTTAATTATCACAGGTTGGAGACCACAAGTCATGTGGGGCTTATTTACATAGATGGCTGTGACTCATGAATTATTTCCTCATCAGGTGAAGGCCTCCATAGAAATTGATCATGAAGGAGTTAGGGACACATCTCAGTGTCTGCACTGTTTTTCTGTTGCCCATCTATTTTTTATAGATTTCTTTTTGTTAGGCAAAGGGCTCACCTAATAGCCGTGGTAGGGGCTATGGTGTTAGAGGAAGGCCAAGGAGTAGAGGTATGCCAAATTTGAATATTGAGAAGTAGCCTGCTAGATGTTGTTTGTGTTGTGCTAGGGGCATAACTTACCATGGCTTTGAATGTTATGGAAGGTTATGTAAGGAATATTTTAAGCAATATTTAGTTCCATTATTCTTCAGGAATGGTTTTGTCTTTACTGAGTATGAGGATGTAGATTGGGATCGGAATCGCTATTATGCTAGGTGTAGAGGTCAAGGAAGGGAACGAGATTTCTGTGATCATGGATGTGGAAGATACAATGAACGTCAGAATGATAGGCAGCAAAATGGAGGCTACAATTAACCATTCTGAACAAAAGAAATAAAACGCCCTTGGAATACAATACACTGATGTAGCATTAAAAAACGTGAATGAGAATTTTAATCATAAACTTAGTGATGATCGACAGGTGACTTGTATTCCTGCTGATAGTTAAGCATAGTTGATAGTTGCATTTCTGTTTTTAGTGCAGCTGCCTCATAGCACAGGGGAAACACACATCCTTTTGGGTTTTGTTTTGTAACCAAGGCTGACATGTTTGAACAATTGTAACTTACAAGCATTTGACAGAAAAATTTCCGTCATTATTTGTCTAGATTTTGGTACTTTATTCCTTTAATACTTGGCTGAACAAGAAGGAATCTATCCCCATTTAACTCCTTACCTCACTAGCGCCACTATTATCCGTACACTTTATTCTTACTGTTTCAATTTCAACAATCATTTTGATTTATTTCGAGTACTAACTAAATATATTTCTTAAGTTGTTTTAATGGCCTAATTGTTCCTTTAATACAATTTTTATATCATCCTTTTGCTCATTTAATTTTTATTACTGTCAATGTAATTTATAAACTACATTTAAAAAAAAAAAAACGCTTGACTTAAGGAAAAGAAAAGAGTCTAAAAATAGGCACAAGTTGTCTGCTTTCAATATAAAAAAAAATGGTAAATTACAGCAACTAAAACTATTTATTTATTTTTTATCATAGAATGCTGACAAAAACGTTACATGTACTACTTCATATTTGAATATTATGATTCATAGCCAATAAAAGTAATTTACTTAAACTCTAATTTAATGTTGCACTTAATAAATGTCTGAATCGTTTTAAGTCATAGAATCTATGACAACCAAGTTTAATAACTAATAATGATTTAGAAATAAAAAAAATTTATAATCAATCTTGATAACCAATAATGATTTTGAAATAAAAACATGTCATTGTAATCATAATCTTGTCTAAACCTTTTTTATTTTTTTAATATATAATTGTTGTACGACAGTTATCAAATCTTACAAGAAAATTAAATAAAAAAAATTAATCATGAATACTTATTAAAAGAAATATATGAATATGATATTTCTATAAAATTTTGTCAATGTTTAGGAGATAAATTATATAAAATGAAAATTATTTTACTATCAAATTTGTAGTGTGGGACTCCATAGACATATTTGTTTATCCTTGATACCAATATTGTGCCACACTTGGATCTTACATACATAAAGATATTTCAAGTGATTCATAATGATAATAAAATAAATTTACCTATTAATAGTTTAAATAATTTAAATAACATGTTTGAACAAAGTAAAAAAAGGTAACTAAAACTATTAGAATATTAATTTATTATTACTTCATTTGTTTGAATGGAGCAATAAGTTTTAGTAGTGTTAAGATTTGACATTATCTCTCGACTAGAATTGCACCTTCGAAAAAATAAAAAAATAAAAAAAATTAAGAAATGCTAATATTGTAAACTATACCAAATTTAAAACATTAAACAATATAGCTTGATTGTTTTTGTAGAAAATAAGTACGTTTTGTTAGACCCTTTTGTTTACAGAATAACATGTTTTTGAACTATTTATTTTCTCTAAAACCAATTTCATTCTTAGGAGTTTGAAGATGCCCTATAGTAGTCACATGAGAAGGATTAATCAATGTTATATTATGACTAAAAAAATGAGTCTCATGATTTTTTGAAACATCTTTAAGAATATTCTCATTTGTCAAAACGCCAACACTATTACTTTTCTCTTCTTTAATTTTTAAAGCATCAAGCTATTCAAATAATCATGGTAAACCTCCAATTACCACATCATAATGTTTTTTAGACCTTGAAGCTTTTTTTGAAAGCTCCAAAATATGAATCATGACACTATTAAACAACATCATTGAAGACTTTAGAGCATTATCATGTTGTTCATCCAAGATACTTTCTACTTCTCCCATTTTAGCATATCTTATCCATCAATTTAAAACATAACGATAAGGTAATGAGTTCACTTTTTTTAATCAAAATTGTTAACTAATGTTTATAAAGGATGCCTACAAATTCAAACATGAAACATGAACAAGTTGTAGTTACTGACAAAGAAGCAAATGTCACAACATGTTTAGGCTTTTCTTTGTCAAACTCATGCACTTTGTAACTATACACTTACTCATTTACAACAATCTTTTTTGCAACATACTATTAAGAATGAATCAACTCATCTTGAAATTTTCTAAACATCTTTCTTGTGTAAACCTTCAAAGTTTCTTTCTCCTTCGAAGCTTCTTTCTCAATTGGATAAAATGTCTTAAAATTGGCTTAGATTTCATTGTTTTGAAAATTTTCTTCTTTTGTTTATTGTATCTTTCATTAAAGGCTTTTTCATATTGAATAAAAAACTTACTCATCAACGTGCTTAAGTTGACATAATCTTTAAAATATTTGTTCATACTCTCACTTCTCTAAGTAGTAGCATTCTAGCACAAAAGTTGTTTAGCACATAAATAGGGATCCATTTTTCTTGAATGGAAAATAGCTTCTTCAATAAACTATTTTCCTACAAACCATACTTTTCAATCATTTCAACTCATTATAATTTAAACTCATTTGGAACTAATGCATAATGGATGCACTTAAAAAATTGATTCTTAGAATCATCAATTGGTGGTAAACATGGCTAAGATTCTCTAAAAAAAAATTTTCAATGTGCCACATGCAAAAATGATGTTTAGTATGTGGTAAAACCTTAGTAACTGCATAAGTTATAGCCATATCTTGATCTGTAATGATTGTTTTTGGATGGTATCCATACATTGCTTCCAACCAAGTGTTTAATAAACAAACAAATGTTTCCTTTGTCTTACCCCACAACAAAGCACAACCAAATAAAATGGATTAGTGATGATGATTAACTCCAGTAAAAGGAATAAAAGGCATTTTATACCTATTTGTTAAATAAGTTAGGTCAAATGCTACAATATCACTAAAGTACTTATATGCAATTCTAAACCTAGAATTAGCCCCAAAACAATTTACTAGTTGACTTTCCACATCCATTTGTATTACATAAAAAAAATTATGGATTCTTCGACTGACATTCCCTTTAATAAGTAAGCATTAACTATGCATCTCTTTTTTTAAGCTGTTTTTGCCTTCTATTACTCAAATAATTTTGAATATCATGCTTAGTTAAACCAACCATATCAATGCCACCCATTTCATTAACTAAATTTGACATTTATTAGGATGAATTCCCAAATCATCAAGTATATTAATTAAATTTCGTTAAACTCTTATCATTTTTTGTGAACACATAAAAATTGAGCACTTTTTAGAGTAGCAAGCTCATGACTGTGATCTCTTATAAATCTAGAAATTAACCTTTTGTCACCATCTTTCTTGGACACATAAATCATGGTTTTACATCCTACTTGTGTCTCATCTAGTGGTGCTTGAATTCTATCTTTCCTTTCAAGATACTTTTGTTATGATAACCTTATTTTGAGCAAACAAATTCCTATTTAACAATCACTTGAGTTTTATAAGATTTTGTAATATGGCTTTTATGAATTTCAAATCTTTCATGTTTTGCATATTTAATATAGTACTCTAATGCCTCTTCCAATGATTGAAACTCCATTCTAATAAATAGTTCTAAACACTCATGATTTTTATTAGTT